AACAAGAAGAGACCAAGAATAGCAAAAGCAATTTTGGACAACATAGGAAAGGCAAGAGGCATCAAAATTCCCAAATTAAAATTATACTACAAAGCTATGGTGATAAAATCAGCATGGCACTGGCAAAAAAAAAAAAACCAACCTGAGGATCAATAAAACAGATTACAAAACAGAGACACAGCTACAAACACACTCAGCCACCTTATCTTTGACAAAGGGGCCAAACATGTTCACTGGAAGGAAGATAGCCTCTTTAATAAATGGCACTGGAAAAACTCGCTTTCCACATGCTGAAAACTAACACTAGACCAATGTCTGTCACCAGGCACTAAAGTCAAAATGGATAAAAGATCTAAATATTAAAACAGAAACACTAAATCTACTGGAAGAGAAAGTAGGTAGAAATCTTGAAGACATAGGGGTAGGCAGAGAGTTCATGAACAAAAACCAAACTGCACAGGAAATACTTCAAAGAATCAATAACTGGGATCTCATGTTATTGAAAAGTTTTTGCACATCAAAAGAAATCATCAATAGGGTAAAAAGAAAACTCATGAATTGGGAAAAAATTATAGCCAACTGTCCCTCAGACAAAAGACTTCTATCTAGCCCATGTAAAGAATTTTTAAAAATCAGGCCCCAGAATTCAAAGACCCAATCCAAAAATGGGCATCTGAGATGAATACAGACTTCTCAGATGAAGAAATACAAATGGCAAATAAATATACGAAAAAATGTTCAACATCATTGGTCATTCAAGAAATGCAAATTAAAACAACACTGAGATTCTATCCCACCCCAGAAAAAACGGCTATCATCAAGAAGTCAACCAATAACCAATGCTGGAGGGGCTGTGGGGGAAAAGGAACCCTTCTCCACTGCTGGTGTGAGTGTCGACTAGTGAAACCACTGCACAGATTCCTCACAAAACTAGGAGTAGAGGTCCCACTTAACCCAGCTACTCCCCTTCTGGATTTTTCCAGAAAAACTGAAAGCATCATACCACAACAATATATGTGAATCCATGTTTATAGCAGTCACAAAGCCTTTGTATCCGGCTATGCCACTGAATTTGGTATAGTCATAGCTAAATCTTGGAAACAATCCAAATGCCATCAACAGAGGAATGGATAAAAAAGTTATGGTATTTTTATACAATGGAGTTTTACTCAGCTCTAAAAAAAGATAAACTTGAGGCTTTCATAGGTAAATGGGTGCAACCAGAGACCATATTCATTAGTGAAATAAATCAGATTCACATGTGTGAACATCAGATTGTCTCACTAGCATAAGAACCTAAAAGAGCACATAAAACCCAAAAGGTATAATAGGTATTGCCAAAGGGAAAGAAACTGCTCAAAGGAAGGAACAACTGGGATGAGGGAAAGGAGAAAAGAAAGAAAGAAGGGAATATTGTGTGTGTGTGTGTGTGTGTGTGTGTGTGTGGAAGGATAGCTGGTATAACTGTACTGCTGATGTCTACTGGTTTACTGAGAGGAATAGTTAATGCTTAAATTTCTTTTTCTTGACCAATTTTGCACACTTATACCTGGTAATCTGAGCAACTAATTTGAAGACAACATGCAATATAACAACCATTGTTGAATTCTTACCATCTTGTTTAGCAAAGCTCCGTATGGTTTCTAATGTTTTTTTATTACTCTTTATTCTTTTTCATTGTTTGCTCAGTTTTGCATTCTGACATCTGGTAATCTTCACTGAAGATAACAATATGTAACATAACAACTATTGTTAATTCCTATCATTTTGTTTTGAAATTCTGTATGATTTTCATCGTTTTTGTGTTATTTTGTTTTTGTCTTTGTTGTAGTTATGGTTTTTTATTCTCTTTAAAATAAAAAATTGCAAGATTCCATTTTTTATCTATGAATTTGGCAAATATTTGAAAAATATTTTAATATATTAATTAAGGATGGTGAGGTGTGAGGGGCCAAGTAGACTCTTCCATATGTTAGTAGCAAGCACTGCAAATTGAGTTGATCTTTGATGGGGAAAAATACATATAAAATTTAGAAGTCAAAATATGATTACTTAGTTTTTGCTTTCATGCTAGGATACTTCCTAACAAATCTACCTCAGGGTCAACTGTTGTGAGGTAAATTGAACTTCAACTTGTTACTGTTGATTTGCATATTTTGCAGGTGTAATTGTTAACCTATAAAATTGGGTAAGATGCTAATGTTTTTGTTCAGTAGAGATAGAAGTAATTTTTGTCCTGCATAGATGAAAATGATTTCTTATACAAAGACAGCACCAAAGGCTATGATTTATTGTCCTACTGGATATTAGGACAATATTTTAGAATAATTTTAGAATATTTTAGATTAATCTAGCATATTTTAGAATATTAGCATCTTTTAGAATAATTTTGGTATTCTCTTTTTTTATTACACCTCTTTCTTTGAACCTGTCTTCTTTACTTGTTGGCAATGAGTACATTTATTATTTATCATAAACACACCGTAATAAAGGGAAGGGAGAAAAATGAATTAAAATAAAAACATGACCTATGCTTATCTTGTTTATATGAGAACTATTTTTTAGCAGTTTGAAAATTATATATTTGACACTGTATAGGAGGATAGTTTGGTCAATATTTTAAGTCTCAAAATTTTATATGCTCTTTTCCCTATCAATTTTTATCTAAGAATTGATCTTAAGGAGTTAAGGATCTGCTCAAAGATTTGGATGGGTATGCTATGAGTTAGCAAAATACCACAAAAAATGCAATATTAGAGTGTGGTTAACCTAAATTTGTTCTAAGAATGATTATTTCCAAGTAAGTAAAATTTTTAGTTTTAAAATTTCCTTTTTCTTATTCATATTTTCCTATGAAACTTTCCAAAAGAAGAGAAAGCTGAAAAGTCACAAAGCCTCGTTATACTATTCTTTCAATTCTTGTGAACATCTGCCAAAGTATTTAGCCCTTAGCTAAATTCTTGCTACTATCCCTTTACTCCAAGTCTTTACTCCAGTTCTTGCTACTATCTCAGGAAACTTCCATGTCCTTAAGTAGGAGCAAATTTAGCTTTTCAATTCCTTAATATCTCATTTTCTAATGGCCTTTGCATCCTCTTCAGTCCTGTAATTCACTGTAAAGATATTTTAGATCCTGTCTCCAAAACTGCTCCTAATGAGTCTATGCTTTTTGCTCTGCTCTTTTAGAGCAAAATGCCTTCTTTTTTATCAAGTGTAATAGACTTATTGGAAATTTTGTTCAGAAAATACATAAAGATTAAAAATTAGAGCAGTGTAACCCAGGGATTACCATTCATCATGTCTATCACCTTTAAAACATTGTGCTAGCAGTAGTTTTTTCCAATGCAAGTATGAGGGAATTTACTACTTTTACTTTTATTACCTGCTTTTTTTCACTGACTGATTTATCTTTCCAAGTCAACAGATACTGTCCTGTATCATCATTATTATTGCTGGAAAATAACTTACTGTATGACAGTCATATTCTGTATCCAAACCAGGACGTCCTACCCTCACCACTACTGACGTGTCGGGCTGGGTAAGCCTTTGTCGTGGGAGGAGCGTGGGCGGTCGTAGGAGGTTTAGCGCTGTATCCGTGCGCGATACAAATCGTGCCAGTAAAAAAGTCTCCAGCTATTGCCGAATGTCTCCTCTGGACAACACCGCCCGAGTTGAGAACCACTGATCTAGCAACCTGCCATCGTCTGACATTTAAGTTTTCTGTTTGGTCACAATTTAAGATAGTGGTGGTTCTGAAGCTCCTAACGCACATAGCATATATTTAGCAAGTCTGCAAATTACTCCTGTAACAGAAATTCCTTCCAAGGAATAACGCATTTAAAGTTCTGACACCTGTTCCCAGACTGTGGAAGAACGTTGCCTCGAGCCAGCGGTTTCAAACGTCCGCCTCACCCGGCCTGGCGCGGCGGCGCCACCCGACAGCGCGCCCGAAGCGCCCGCGCACGTGTGTGGCGGCTCCGCAGCGCACCC